TGTGTGGATGATCTCTGCAATGGTGTCAATGGTGAGGTTCATTCCTCGATCGAGCCCACTTGTATGTTGCATCTATACATTGGTGGCCCAAGGTCTCATGGGCCCACCAAGCTATGAACAGTTCACCTTTGCGCTGGCAGTTCAAGTCCACATGAGCCACTCTAATCTGAGCAGCTTGGTCTGCCTGCTGGTTGTGTTGATGTTCATCAGTGGCCCAACTCTTGGGTACATGGGCATCCACATGGCGCACCTTCACAACGAGGTTTTCCACACAGGCCGCAATGTCCTGCCATACTTAGGCAGCCCAGACAGTTTTACCCTTCCGTTGCCAGTTGTTCTTCTTCCATTGCTGCAACCATTTCCACAGGGTATTCACCACTACCCACGAGTCAAGGTAGAGATAGAGCCTTGACGACTTTTCCCTCTCAGCAATATCTAAAGCAAGCTGAACGGCTTTCACCTCTGCAAACTGCCTCAATTCACCCTGTCCCTCAGCAGCTTCAGTGACCCGTCGTGTGGGACTGCACACAGCAGCCTTCCATCAACAATGTTTTCCCACAATACAACAAGACCCATCAGGGCTTATTGCTTCTCATCCGGCAGATCGTTATATGGTGGGGGCTTCCTTAGCACATATCACCCCCTATTCTGGTGACATCCCAGAATCTTTGCTCTCCGGCCAGTTTGTAATCACCTCTAGTATCCCTGGGTGGCTGGGATTCCCTATTCGAGCCTGTTGTGTTATCAACTCAACCCATTTACTCCACGTGGCATCTGTTGCATGATGCATGGAGGAGGCCTTTCCTTTGAACATAACACCCTAGCACCGGCAGTTGGGGTGCCAGGAGGAGCTGTGTTTCAGTGATGATCACTTCTGAGGCAGCCCAAACTCCTTCGTACACTGCCAGTATCTCCATCTCAGTTGGTGTGTAATTAGCTTCAGAGCCTTTGTATCCCCAGCTCCAAAAGCCTAGAGGTCGGCCCCGGGTTTCCCCAGGTGCTCTCTGCCAGAGGCTCCAGGTAGGGCCATTCTCCCTGGCTGCGGTGTAGAGCATGTTCTTAACCTCCTGCCCTTCCTGGACTGGCCTGAGGGCTACTGCTTGGGCAATCTCCCACTTAATCTGTTCAAAGGATTGTTGTTACTCAGGGCCCCATTCAAAATTGTTCTTCTTACGGGTAGAGAGGTCTCACAATCAGGCTGTAGTTTGGGATGTGCATCCTCCAGAACCCCACAGCACCCAGGAAAGACTGAGTCTCTTTTTTAGAGGTTGGTGGGGCCATGGCTGTTATCTTCTTTATCTCCTCCATTGGGATGTGGCGACACCCATCTTGCCATTTTATTCCTAGGAATTTTATTTACCTTGCAGGCACCTTAACTTTCTTTTGCCTAATTACAAAGCCGGCCTTCAGGAGCATTTCAATTATCTTCTTCCTTTTCTCAAAGACTTCCTCAGCTGTGTTCCCCCATATGGTGATGTCATCAATATAGTGCAGGTGTTCTGGAGCCCCCCCTTTCTCCAGTGCAGTATGGACCAGTCCATGGCAAATGGTGGAGCTGTGGTTCCACCCCTGGGGCAATCGATTCCAGGTGTACTGGATGGCTCTCCAAGTGGACGCAAAATGTGGCCTGCACTCTGGCACTATTGGAATGGAGAAGAACACGTTGGCAATGTCAATCGTGGCGTACCACTTGGTTGCCTTTGGCTCCAGTTCATACTGGAGCTCTAGCATGTCCGGCACTGCAGCACTCATTGCTGGTGTAACTTCATTCAGGCCATGGTAGTCCACAGTTAGCCTCCATTCGCCATTATGTTTTCTCACAGGCCATATAGGGCTGTTGAAGGGGGAGTGAGTTTTGCTGATCACCTTCTGGCTTTCTAGTTGACGGATCAGCTGATGGATGGGGACCAAGGAATCTCAGTTGGTGCGGTACTGCCACTGGTGCACCGTCCTGGAGGCAATCGGCACTCGCTGCTCCTCAACCTTAAGTCGCCCCACCACTTAGGGATCGTCTGAGAGGCCGCATAAGGTGGACAACTGTTCAACCTCCTCCAGGTCAGCTACACCAAAAGCCCACCGGTACCCTTCTGGGTCTTTGAAGAACCCTCTCCTGACATAGTCTATGCCCAGAATGCACGGGGCATCTGGGCCAGTCACAATGGGGTGCTTATGCCAGTCCTTCCCAGTCAGGCTCACTTCAGCTTCCAATAGGCTCAGCTGTTGGGATCCCCCTGTCACTCTGCAGATGCAAATGGATTCAACCCCACTGCAGCTCGATGGCATCAGGGTGCACTGTGCGCCAGTGTCCACCGAAGCCTGATACTCTTGTGGGTCTGATGTGCCAGGCCTCTGGATCCACACTGTCCAGTAAATCCAACTATCCCTTTCCTCCACCTGGCTGGAGGCAGGGCCCCTCTAATCCTGCTCATCATCACTCACTTCTTGTAAGAATGATTTACTGGTCCCCTCAAGAGGGTCAGACATAATATTCACCATTCTATTCTCTCTGGAGGATTTCTGACCGGACACTGGAGCTGCGCTCTTGGAAGACTCCCCTTTCGTGATGGTCTTCCCTTTCAGCTGCTCTACTCATGCAGCTAGGGCTGCAGTGGGCTGTCCATCCCACCTCCTCATGTTTTATCCATGGTCAAGGAGGAAAAAACCACAGGGTGCCTCATGGTGTTTACCTTCTGCTGCCTTTCTCTTGGGTAAGGAAACATTTACTTCTAATGGCTGAGACATCAGCCCATGCAGGTGAAACGTAGCACATTTCCAGTTTCATTTTCTGTACCCTCTGATACAGTTCCTCCACAGCTGAGACCCAGGAATGTTGAGATGAAGGGAGATTTCCCTCATATTGCCGGAGCTTGCTAACCACTCCATCCACTGTTAGAGTCTGGGTGTCTGTCCACCAGGACACTACTGCTAATGCTTTTGAGTGTGCATCTGGTGCACTCTTCAGGAACTTTCACAATATCAGGTGTGTGCAAGGGGCCTGATCTGGGTCCATGGGTGACTGCTCATCATTCAGATCACCATAGATCATCTCAAACACAGCCAGTTCCCTGAGATTCAGAATGCCTTTCTTAATGTTTGTCCATTTGCTTAGCTGACATAGCATATCATCCTTGTAGGGGTACCTCTCCCTTATACTGTGCAGGAGTCACTTCCAAAGGCTAAGGGTTTGAGTCTACTTCCCTACTGCCCTATCAATGCCAGAATCCTTGGCCAAAGATCCCAGATGCTTGGCCTCTCTCCCCTCCATCTCAAAAGTACTGGCTCCATTGTCCCAGCATTGGAGCAGCCAGGTGCAAATATGCTCACCTCTCAGGTGGCCAAAATCTCTCTGCATATCTTGCAACTCAGTTGGGGTTAGAGATTGGATGATCACCACTGGCCCCTTCTCCTGTTCCCATGCTGGGCCTGGGTCATCCCCATCCCCCACTTTGCGTGCTGACTTTCTGGTATATTTTGTTTTCTGTATCGAGGCAACTGATACCGGCACTGGCTGTCTCTCTGGTTCAGCTGCTGTGCTGCTGGAGGCTACTGATTCTGGCTCTGCCTGTTCCCCCAGCCCAGATACTGTACCAATAATTTAATTCTCACATCCTGCAGCCCTTTCTCCCCCTTGAGGGCAGTGATTGGTATTAAAGAGCACACAGTAGGCATGGGTCAGTCCCCAACACACTGCAGCAATTTGTTCCAGAACAATCTTTATTCTTCCAGTACTCTTTGCATGTTAAACTGTTGTCTGAAACACTGATTATTCTCCATATAGTACACTTATCTGTTCTACCAAAATGAAGTTGCACAGCAATAAGACACCTGTGTAGGACCACAGCTCATACTTCGGCTAAACAGAAATTCTATCCTCATCCCTACAATGGCAGTTTCTACTATAAACGTTTGTAAGTGTGTACACAAACCAATGAAGAAAATGCATTATGTAGTATCCATATACATTTAATGTATTTAGTAGGATCCTCATCTGTTAGGTAAACCAATAATCTGCTGGATTGCTGCCTGAGTACAAAATTAAATGAGCTTCCTTCCTGGATATTTAGTTCCCAATATTCCTACTTGTTTTTTTTCCCACAACACCTGATTCACTTTATTTGGCCTAATCTTTAAAAAAACCCCAAAATAAAAAAGTATAAAATCTTCTGGGTTTGTTATTTGGAATAAACCATATTACTTCAGATAATTCACATGCTTTCTCTATCAATACTGATAATCTAGTAGTCTGTAAAAAATCAAAGACTCTTACAATCAGTAACCAATTCTTAATACCTCGGAAGCTGTAAAGAATATATTCCTTTACAGTCAAGGAAAGTATTTTGGCAAAGAGAAAGGAACTTCCATATAACCAGGGCTCTTCTCACTTTAGTGTTAGCCAAAAGTTATACTTACTAATACTTAAAATTATTTCACTTTTTAATGCCTATTTTTCCCCCACAAAATCACAATTCTAACTGAAAAACTTTCTCTAGTCCAGCTTTCAAATACTACCCCTATCTATATCTGCACTTCCCAATAGAAACTCCACATGGCGCACTGAATAATTTTTTTCTAACTGAAGTGCCTGTAAACAAGATAGACACACTCACCTATCCCTCCCTGGCTTTTGCAAACCTGAGCCATTTTTGTCAGAGACTACTGCCATTTCAGAACACCCTCATGTCTTAGGTATCTCTCCCTTCAAGCTTGGCACCGCCTAACGTGCTGTTAGCACCATTAGACCACGCAGAGGCCTCTGTTACGATGAAAGCTGCGCTGCAGGTGACCACAGTGGCGCCTTGGAAGCACAGGCAAGTAAATTAAGCCACTGCCGTAACCCCTGGCTACCGCCTCACAAATATCCTTTTATTGTTTACTGCGACCACTACACAAGGACAGAAGAGAAAAGCAGGGATTGCTCCTGCAGGACAGGCAGAGGACCAGGGCACAGGCCAGTACAGCTGTGAGAGTAGGCTTAACGCCCGCGTTAGCGTCAGCCGTACCTCCCAGACGCGTTTCCTCCAGGGAACGAGTCTCGCCCGCCCTCAGCATCCTCCGGTACAGAAACGCCACACCTCCAAGGCCGCGCCCAAGCCCTGTCCCCGCCCGCCAGCAAGACCAACCGAGCGGCCCCCCCCGGCAGCCCCGCGCACGCAGTGCACGCTG